CAGCAGTTAGCGTAATGGCTATGTCGCTGGACTCCCACGTAGTTGACCGCGGTTCATGTCCCGGACCCGGTGGCTTAAAACTCACGCTGGGCGCGTGTGCGTGCATGCCCAAGATCCCGAGAGAAAAATGGAGGAGAAGGGATTGCAGCGTGACCATCCCCCCTGGGGGGTGATTTCTTGCTTTCTGTCTCTATGTCTCTCTCTGTCTCTCTGGCGAGCGCACGCGCCCTATAGTGAAAACCTCTCCAAAAAAAAAACAAAACAAATCCTAAATCTCACTTGCTCCTATCATTAGCCTGTTGCATATCCTTATGTAAATCAAATGCCCATCTGGGACTTAGGTTCACAATATCAGGGGGATGTGCTAACAGATTTTTAAGTTCCCTTCCGTCTATTCATGAGATTTTTTTATCTTTATAATTTGCTGTCCACTCATTTCAGTTTCTATTATTCTCAGCTATTACAGTCTATTAGCACATTTCAAAGCAATTAATTCTTTCAAATCTATACTTCTATATACTCAAGTGTCAGTCTTGGTTCTTTTCTTCTTAAAATACTCCATCAGTACCTGCTGCTGCTTCTTTTTATTTTTTAATTTGCCAGAGGGCATGTGCACTCACTGGAGAGAGACAGAAAAAGAGAAAGAGAAAGGAGAAAGCATTCTTATGGGGCCTGGTCACAAGATGACACAATACCTTCTCCTCCATTTCTCCCTTCTTTTGGGATTTTGAACATGTACATACATGTGCCTGGCATGTTTTTCAAGTTGCCAGATCAGGGACTCAAAGTGCATGGTTGGCCATGTGGGATTTTTTTAAATTAAAGAATTATTTTATATAACATTAATATTTATTTATTTGACCAGAGAGAAACAGCAAGAGAGAGAAAAAGAGGCAACATGAGAAAGCAAGCCGCCAGGTCTAGGACTCGAACACTGCAGTAGGCCATGTGGGAGTCTAGTGCCCTTAACCACCATGCCACCTGCTGGCCCTGGCCATGTGGGATCTTAATCAGTCACCTTAATCATCAAGCCATGGACTGGCCCATAGTACTTGCTTTTAACCACTTTCATTTTATAATCTCATGTTGAACATATCAAAACTGTCCAATGAAAGCTGATAACAGTACATTCACACTGATCTCTACTGTCAAAATGTTTATCTTCTGTTGCTACTTCAATGTATTTATTTCCTAGATGGTTTAGAGAGTCACTATTATATTTAAGCTGAGATTATATTGTGTTTTTAATTTAAATATTTAAGTATATTAAAAGCCATAGGTAAATTATGCTACTAACCATCTTCCAGTTTGATCTGCAATCTGCTTTTCTAAATTCTGTAGCTCCATTTTGTAAGCTGTTATTCGAGCATTGCATACCATGAGATTCTTAACTGCATGTAAAACCTGGTCTTTTTGAGTGCTCAAGGAAAGGAGCTTCCATATTCCTTCTCGTATTCGAATTTCTAAATCTATTTTTTCTTGAATGTTGCAGTCCTAAAAAAAGAGAAAAACATTTTTAAAAGATATGGAAAATCTAAAATTATAACATTTTTTTTTACCCCTAGTAGATTGAAAATGTAGTAACTATCTTTATAATTTTATACCACATTGGGAAAGAAAGTTTTAACATATGATGATATAAAAATATAGGTATTTTGAAATACTCTTTGCAAAATCTTCATTTCTCACTTTATTAGGAAGTCTTTATAATCTACTGGATGAAGAGAACAGAAACAACAATGTAAACCATTATATGTTATTACTATAATTATCTATGCCAGGTTTAATAGTGCCCCTCTCCCAAAGTCCACTTATGACTGTCTAGAACCTCAAAACATAATTGTTTGGACAGAGGATTTTGCAGATATAATTAGTTAAGGTGAGATCACATTGGATTACATAGTCCCTAAATCTAATCTAATGACTGGTGTTCTTTTTTTTTTTTCTTTAACGAGAGATTTTTGCTATAGGGCATTCGCCAGAGAGAGACAGAAAGACAGAGGGTGAGAAATCATCTCCCCCAAGGGGGAGTGGCTATGCCACAGTCACTTCTCCATTCTACTCTTGGAATCTTGGGCATGCACGTGCGTGTGCCCAGCTGAGTTTTAAGCCACGGGGTCCAGGACTCGAACTGTGGTTGACTACGTGGGAATTCAACAATGAACCTATTATCTGCTGGTTTCATGACTAGTGTTCTTATAAGATGGCCATGTGAAAACAGTCAAAGACAATGTCATGTGAAGACAGAGAATGTAGTCTGTAAATCAAGGAATACCGATGATTAATGGCAACCACCAGAAGCTGAAGAAGGCAAGGAAAGATTCGTCCCTAGGGCCTTCCGAGGAAGCATACCCTGCCAATACCTTGATTCCAGACTTCTGGCCTCCAGAACTAGAGAGAAGACATTTCTGTTGTTTTATGCTACTCCACCCGTCTCGGTCATTTGTTATTGCAGCCATTGGAAGCATACAACTAATGGAAACAATACGCCACATGTACGTATTATATAGGCTGTATTACGGGATGGCAAGATGTGGGTGGTGACACTGAATTGATCAAGGAAAACTTTCTGAAAGAGCAGATGTTGAATAAAGAAACCAAGGTCTAACAGCAGGGCAGTAACAGGCTATTTGTCATGGTAATAAGCAGAGTAAACAGAAGCTGGAAATAACAGAGAGAAGCCTGGTGCTGAGAAAATGTCAGAAGCCTTAGCTACCTGGACCAGAGCTTCAGAACACAGTTCTGTATGTATTTATTTTAGTTTTAAGAGTCACCACAGGGCCCAAAAGGTGGCATGGTGGTTAAGATGCCGGGTTCCCACATGTTCGACAGGGTTCAAGTCCTAGATCTGGCGGCTTGAAAATCACTCAAGGCACATGTTTGTGCATACCTCAAATCCCAGGAGAAGGGACTACAGCGCAGTCATGCCCCCTGCTGGGTGATTTCTAACGTTCCCTCTCTCTGTCTAATGCACATACCCTATGGCAAATCCTAAAAAAATAAAATATGGCACTATAAAATTACTAAATATTTAGTTCTGGAAGTCCTTTATTCTATATAATATCAAATTTTATATGTAATATTAAAATTCTACAAGTAGAATGTACAGTTCTGATTTAATGCAGTGACTGTAAAAGTTATAAATCGTAACATGTAATAACACTTCTAGTGTATCTATTTCTAAAAGTATGTGACATCCTAGATTCTATGGTGAAAAATGAACACTAAATGGATAAAAACATAAGTCAAAAAATGTGAATGGAATCTAGTAACAAAAGTTCCACATATAAAAAAGTTAATATTAAAAAAAAAAGATGATTGTTAGGAGCACTATAGTGTATGAAGATTATCCAAAGAGAAACTGTAGTAGATGATTTGACTCTCCAAAACAATCACCTATAGTATTCACATGCAGAAAACAGATCTGTTTAATTACCTTTTGTAATTACATCATGTAATCACCACATATGAAACCTTCTCTTTTGTACTGTTACAACTCAAAACTGGTCAGCTATATAAATGGAGTCATTTGCTGGTTCCCTTCTTTACCCATGACTAAATTTTACCAACTCTATTTTATCTTGTTATGACTTCTCAGCACCAAAGTAAATTCTTCAATGTAATTAACAATTAATTATAATAATTATCTATGTGACCCATATGTCTATAGAAATAAACTCTAGCAGGCTGGTTAGTACTGGAGAGTGCACAGAGGGAGCAACTTACAGCAGGGATGAATAGCTTTACCCCACAACTCAAATATAAACAAATACCATCTGGTGCCACTACATTCAATTTTGCTCTTTAAATGCAGCATGAGGCAGCCAATTGAACTAGCACAGTGGTTCTCAACGCTGCGTGCACATTTGAATCATGCGAAGCATAAGGGGGGCCCATATAAAAGTACCTCTACATATGATCTACCATAAACCAACTCGGATCTCTGGAAGTGGGGCCAAGTATTTTTTAAGAAGTTCCTATGGTGTCTGAATATCCAGGGCGGAGAATCACTGCAGGGTTGTTGGAAATGCTGCAGCAATCTTAAAGGATGCAACAACCTTAAGGAACCAGCAGGTGGCCATAGCCACATTAAGAAATCAGCTTGGCCTGAGATTTCCATCCTGCAAATGAAGATTGTCTTCTCTCCATCACTCAACAACAAAGACTCCAAAAAATTACAGGAGTTTGGGATATAGAGGAAGAAAGAAATGTAATGACAAGATTTTAAAAGCGTGTGTAGGATTTAGTCAACATCCATTAAAGAAACGAGGCATATCTAACAGATCTTACCACTAGGCTGTTGCCCTTCAGAGCAGGGGTCAGCGAACTATGGCTTGGTCAGCATCTGTTTTTATAAATTAAGCTTACTGGAGCACAGCCACACCCCTCCATATTGTCTATGGCTACTTCTAACCACAATGACAGAGTTGAGTAATATCAACAAACACCATGGTCTATAAGCTTGAAAACAACGACTATCTGGACCTCTGCAGAAATCGTCTGCTGACCGGAACCCAGTCCAATTTACACAAACAGTAAGCTATGACCCTACTACCCTTGCTGAACCAGGTCTGGGAGAGGGCCGACACAGGCAGGATGAATTGGTAAGTGTGTGTGTATGGTTTTGAATGCAGTCTGTTTTTTAAAAAGTGCTTGTTTTAGCCAGATTTGTGTTTTAATGCAACTTCTTTTACTATAGTAAACATATATACACTTTACATGCAGAAGAAAACAAGCAATACTAGTTTCAGCAAAGAAAAGCTTATAGAGTCAAAGGGTTGCCATTAGTTCATAAATGTGCAAATGCTACTGGATGGAAACTGATGTCTACTGCTATCCACAGTGAGAATATCGATCACATAATGAGAGTGCCCCCTGAGTGTTCATGGAGACACTGACTGACTCAAAGAGGGAAGATCTAAGATCATTAGGGCTGTTGCCTCAGCCAAGAAGGCATAGCCAGGTAGAGCCAGGGCTGATTAGGACCAGTGACAAAAGCATGTTTCCTTGTACCCATCAGCCTTTGGGGTGTTTGAATATGTCTCCAGGAAGAGTAGAGAATGAGGTAAAGCCATTCTCTTGTTTCTTCTTCCATCTTCACAGGGGCTTGCTTATAATTAAGTCAAACAGAAGCCTATGTCACTGTCCTGATCTTGTAAATACTTAAAGTCGGGCTGATAAAAATAAAAGGACAGGTCAAGGCTAACAATGAAACAGAGGGACATCTTAAAAGTAGAAATCTTAGATTATGTAAAAAAGAGAAATCTACTGGGATTTAAGAACTAGAACGGCACAAAGGAAGTATAAAGAAAATGACCTTATTGTTGGCATTGAGAACAAAAACATGAAATTTGGTTGTTGGTAAGACTTCATAGTAACTATCCAGACAGTATCGACCTAGATACCTAACAGGTGTGTAAGCCAAGAAATCAAGATAATGTAATATTTATTTTTATGAAAAAAAATCACAGAAGAGTATAAACAACATATATACAATATGATCTCATTTTTCTAAATGAAACTGTGTGTGCAGAAAAAAAAAATGTCTGAGCACTGTTAGTAGTGGCCATTCTGGGGCATGGATTTGACTAGAGAATTCTTATATTCTTATGTTTCTATATACATTGACTTTTCTGCAATGAAGCAGTATTACTTCCCAAATTTTATTTTTGTTACGATTTCAAAAGCTTAAATATCTGTAAGAAAAGGTGACCGTTCCAGCAGATCAGACGAATGGGACAAAAGATGATCATCTCCCAAGCTTGTCCTGAGTACTAGGTGCTGAGCGAGGCACTCCAGAGAGGTTCTCAGATCCCGAGTTTCTGGTTTAGGCGTTATACCCATTTTAGAAGGGCAGAAACTGAGACTCAGAATAGACAGGTAACTTATTCACAGGTGCACAGCTAGCAGAGCCAGAACTGACCTGATTCTGACTCCAAAACCAATATCCTGTCCTGTGAGAAATCAAAGAAGACTCCAAGATTAAGTAGAAGTGTTTCACTATTGTGTGATAGCCTCAAAATCTCTGGTCCTATTTCTATTAGATGTAAACACACACACACACACACACACTCACACGCGCACACACACACATACATATATACACATTACATAAAAACTCAGTGTTAGTCATATGTAAAATTCTCTTACTGACCTTCAGTATTCCTGCTTGGTTGAAACCTATTACTACTAGTTTGTAATTTTCCAAGATCCAAACAAAAGATGTAATTCCACATTTCAGTTATTTTGATTTCATGTTGCCTAAGATACCACTAAATATTGCACATTCCTACATGTAAGTAATACCTAATATTTAGACATATATTTTTATTCCATGCAGCCAAGTTCTTTCATAACACTATCCTCCTAAACCTTCCACACCATTACTAAACATCACAGTAGCACATAGCTCAGTAAATACAGTTGGGCAGCTACACCCACACCTGTGTGATTCATACAAGAACCTCAACAGATTGCCAGTTCACTAGAAATCAAGATTTTGTTAGCAATCAGGACAAGCATAGTACCATATATAACAAAATAGGCTAGAAAAGAAATCATTTATATCAAAATATTTGAAATTTTTGAAAATGTTGGCATAAAGTAGCATACATTACTGATAAAGGTACTGGCCTTCTAACGCATAATGACTCTCAGAACTTTGCTTCATTTTTCACAGTATTATTGAAGGCTGTCTACCAATCTTGGATCTGCTGAGAAAACTCAAGGTTGCTAGACAAAGCTAGTTGGTGGCCCCACACGAAACTGCAAATATTCCACCAACTTTGACCTACGAAATTGGCCATTTCATATGGTTTAACCCAGTTCAGAAGTAGGTAACAGGTGGAGATTAAGGTGGAAGTGAAGGTACAGCTCAAAGACCCCTGAGTACTGGTTAAGAGTGGAGCGTACTAACATTCCAAAAACCGATGTTAGCAACAAAATGATGTCTTACTATGTTAAGTAAAAATGTTCTAACACATTTTACCCGGCTTTTAGCAAACGTCAACCTTCCATCCAATCCAAAGCATCCTATCTCTTTTCATTGTAGTGATTCAACAATCCACTACCAAACTTCCGGCTTTATCTAAAGTCCGGGGGTTGGGTCGGGGTTGGCTTCGCCATCCGCCTCCCAACAGTTCACACTGTGTGCAGACATCGCCCCAATAACTGTGCTTTGCGTTAAACCCGGTAATAAGCCAACTGTCCTCCACTAGCCTCGCAGGGTTTCTTAGCCATCCTGGACACTGCCCCTGCGTCGTCTACATCTGCCAGAAGATCCGCGTCCACACCCGGGGAGGCCGGAGGCAGGTGCGCCGGAAACGCGCGGCGAGGCTCCAGCTGGCTTCCCCATTCCGGGTCTCAGTTTCCTCGCTAAGAAATCCCGGGCTGCAACCGTGGAAGCCCTTTGGAGCCGGGCTCCGCGGCCCTCCCTTTGTTGCTGGCCCCCCGGCTATAGTGAGACTCGGAGTGGAGCTTTCCCGACGACGGGACAAAGCGACGGCGCGAGAGGGTAGAAGGCAAGCCCCTTCTCACTCACCTGCGCTGCGGGAAGGCCGGCCCTGCAGAGCTGCGGGGCCCCCAGGGCCTGCCGGTCCATCGCAAGCGCGATCAGCCCGGCTGTCGCCACTTCTCCAAAGCGCAGATTTGAAAAGCCCGCCGCGGGCAGGAGCCGCGGAGGACGCCAACCGCCCGGCCGTACCAAGTCCTGGGCCGCAGGGGGAGGGTCCGCAGGGGACGAGTCGGCTTGCGCAGGCGCAGTGTGCACGCCTCGCGCTCCGCGGAGGTCGAGGGAGAAAGTTTGCTGAGCGCGGGGTCCTCTGTGCTGACCAGACCGGGTGCAGCAGGCAGACTTAAGGTGCTGACCGCGGCGTGGGCGGGGCCGCGGGGAAAGCGCTGGCGCCAGAGCCACCTGACCGGCGCTCGGGTAGCTGGTGAATTTGCAGGCAAGCCGCTGCGCTGGGAGCCTTCTGCATCCCACCCACAGCTTCCGAGGTGTGCAGCGTACACAGGCTCAAGGCTGCAGTCCCTAGACCCACACAGGCGATGCAGTGTCCCTAGGAGCCCACGTCTTGCTCCGAGAGAATCAAGCGACGTTATTTTCAAAGGCGGCGTGCACTCCTCGCTCATGGCACTGCATTGTCACCCAGGGTCACTTTGATCAGGACCTTATTAATCAGGCTCTTGAGCTGTGTCAGGCATTTCACAAGGTCGTGTCCTTTGTCCCCAGGGTTTATTTATATTCCCAAGGTTCAGACCACCCAAGTACGCAAGGGACATCTTTAGTTTCTCTCTTTCTCTCTGGAGTTAAAGAGTTGGAGTTCTCCCCTTCACCAAAATCCATATTGACAAGTGACAAAAGTGGGGTACTATTTATTGCTGCCCCTAAAGATTAGCACAAACACCCCCTTTTAATGGAAGGACTTAGTTATTTATCATAATGGTAAAGTATGGGATTTTTAAAAATCAAAATCCTATGATGAAGATTTAAGGTCGTTGCAAAGTCCTTAAAATGCGTTGTCCCTAATTTATCCCACCTTCCCCTTGGGAAGTCTTCAGGAAGCCTCTTTGGCCTTCAGACATTTTAGGGGAGAGTCAATCAGATTAACCCTCCTACCCTCACCTCATAGAAGGCCTTGGGCACTATTCCTCTAAAAATAGAATGCCATGTTTTTATTGAATTGGGAAACTTCCTATTTGGGTTTGTTGTCCCAATGTCCAACCAATCTTGCACTTGCACCAAAGTGGATGTTAAATTCCATGATCATCTTCTCCACAAGGCCCTTTTAAAAAGCATTTTGTCTGAAGATGTACTTTAAAAATACAATGGATACTCTTCTCCTCAAGTGGGTAATTGGCCTCCTTAAGGCCCTTTGGACTAAGTGATACTAGAAGCTTCCCGGTTAGGAAGGACTCTCCCATTACATTACAAATGAATGGTCATTTGGGATGACCCATATCCTTACACACAACTATAAAATATGGGAGCCGAAAATTACCAAGCCAGAGCTCACACCACATTTTCCCCAGACATGGATCTGAATTCTGGAGTTACTAAGTGCCCTTTCCTCCAGTGCACATGCCTTCCTGTGCTACCACTTTGTGGTGTAATTATCTCCTATTCAATATGAGCTGTGTGAGCCTGGGATAGCACCTGACTCAGAGAAATATAGAGAGCTCATCATCAGACATATAGCATTTGTATAGCACACAGGGCTCTCAGACTTAGATCAAAATACACAAGCAGCAGTTGAAGAAAATGGGAGCAAGCCAACCATTCTGAAATTGAATACCAATGTAGGAGTATTTGACTAATGAATGCTAGGTGTATTACTGGATAAGCAACTATTTTTTTAATACCCAAAGAAAGAAACAGATCTAGGAAAGGCCAAGCTTAATAATTATTGTTAGAACATAAACAGTTGCTGTTAGAGACCTTTTTCTTTGGGGAAGATAGGATATGATCCTATCTTTTTATTATTCATCAAGGGATATGCCCAGGAAGTACTTAAGTGCTTAGCTATTATAGGATGATTAAAACACCTCAGAGTAGGTCTTCTGTTTTCTCATTTATCCTCAGGTCTTTTTTTTTTTTCTGCTAGTTTCATCAAACGTACTTTTCTTTGGTGTATATAATAAACATAAAAATAGAATTACCCTTGAAAACTACCAAAGGGTTAAAGACTTCAGTTGATTAGTTTACAAATTTATTAACCTACCTACTTATTTATTTTTAAATTCCCAGAAAGTAAGAAGTACTACCTTTCACCATCTCAAATATTAACATTTGGGCATGTCTTTACCTTTACCTCTTCTTGCAGAAGTTTGATACCTACCCAATTGTCCAGATGTAGTAGCTTCAGCTGGAGGCTTGAATGATGGAATTACTGCCTTACTCATATTACTTTCCATTACTAGGTCAATACTTATCATTAATTATAACATAGTTATTAGTTCTCTAGAATAATAAATAGAACATATTTAATATTATATATTGATAATATATATTAATAACATACTTAATAATATTATATATTAAAATAGACAAGATGTATTTGACATAGAACAGAAAATTTAGATAATACTAATAAAAATTAAAGTGTATTTTTTTCTTTATTTTATGTACTTCTCTTATTAATTCTCTAAGAGGCTAAAACAAAATGCTCTCTCTTACATAACAGACCCATATTTTAAAATATGGTTTGACACAGAACAGGCTACTTGTGATTTCAAATATCCTCCTAGCTTCTCTTTTAATTTTTTTTTGTTTTTCTTGGTGCTTCCTTTACTCATCTGTTGACTTTCTGGACAATGGGTTTAGGCTGAACTTAATAGACTGGAGCTGTAATTTGAATGATACACCATGACAAAAGAAAGAAACAGGAAGACCTGAGATAAAGATGTTAAGCATGGTAGCAGCATCTTAATGAACAGGTCATAATCTACAAACAGCTGAAGCATCGTATAATCATGAGGAGGATGTGGACTCTGCAGACTCAGTAGCCCCGTGACCTTGGGCGAGTCATTCCATATCCTTATCTACAAAACAGAAGCAGGAATAACGTCCATCTCATTTTTAAAAGTTGTTGGGAGACTCAGAATAAGACTTTCAAGAGTGCTGTGGAAAGTGTGGGTATTCCACAAAAACACGAGTCATTGCTACAATGGGAAGAAAGCATCAGTACTGACAGGACCTGCAAAACTCTGAGGTCTGAAGGAGAAAACCTTACATGAATGGATATTTTCAAGGCATATCCCCTACCTAACCAATAATACCTACACCATATATAAAGACCTCCTACAAATCAGTCAATATTCAGTTGGAACATGGTCCAAAGAGATCAAACATTTCATAATAAGAAATAGTTTAAAGTATGTAAATATCCTTGTAAAATTTAAACATTGGTGGTAATATGTAGTATTAGTATATGTATGTATGTATGTATGTATTTTACATTCATTCACTGAATATCATCACAGCATACAAAATGGGATTTCCCATGTAGAATACACTGTATAGTGGCTTAATCATACATGTTACTGTTAACAAATAATTTTCCATTTCTTGTTTCATAGATATATATACATAAACGTTTTTCCACCCTATTTCTCACCCTCTGCCATTTCCCACCCTCCTCCTATATTGTCTCTGGTATCTACAGTTGTTTTCTATTCCTTTTTTTCCCCTACACTTTGTTGATTCCCAAAATATCTTAATCTAAATATTTTCTATTGAAAATTCAGCTGATAAATACACATCTGTGAACACATGTCTGATTTTAGGCATGAAACCTCATGAGTACAATGAACATACTATAAAGTAGCACCTAGCTGAGGCTATTGCTGTAGTCCTTAAATAGGTATTATTATTTTTTTTAATTTTAATATATTTTTTTAATTTCAAGAAAAGCATTTATAGCTTTAATAAATCAAAGTGAAAAAATGTTAAGAGTAATTTGCTTAAGACTTAAAGTCAGGAAACAGGATACGATTCTGTTCAAATAGTAGGTACATGAACCTATCAACATCTTAAGAGAGGACACAAATCCTTAAATCTGGAAAACACAGCATAGAAGAAAATCAGTAATGTTTTAGTCACAAGTCATAAAATTTTATTTCACCCGTTCAGTCTCATATAATTAACCTCTCTTCTATTGTGATCTGGTCTTTCCATTTAAATTCTGGAAAATAACATTCAACTCTGGGCTTGTCACCTACCATTAAGTTGGCTATTTTCTTGGTCGTTTTTGAACTCTTATTTCTGTGTGTCTGACTTTAGTTTTTCTGATATAGCACTCCGACCAGAACTCTTGGAGAGCTGGCATGATGCTGGTAAATTCTTTCAGTTTTTATCTGAGAATGTTCTTGTCTTTTCTTCCTATATGAAGAATTATCTTGCCGGGTATATTATTCTTGGTTGAAATTGTTTTTCACTTAACACTTTGAATGTATTTTCCCATTATTTCCCTGTTCACATTGTTTTCAATGAGAGGTCCACTATTAGCCTAATGGGATATCCTTTGTAGGTAACTTGATGTTTCTCTCTTGCCAATCTTAGTATCTTATCTTTGTCTGTGGTTTTGGTCAACCTGGCTATAATGTGTCTTGGAGAAGATCTTGTTGGGTTGATTATATTTGGGGTCCTTTGTATTTCTTGGGACTGGATCTTTGAGTGCCTCTCTAGGTTTGGAAAGTTTTCTTGCATGATTTCATGGAATAGATTGTCAATGCCCTTATTAGTCTCTTCACCTTCCGGGATACTGATTATCTGGATGTTTGGACATTTAATGGTATCTAGTAATTCTCTTATATTATTTTCATTTGGGGGGGGTATTTTCTCATTCTTCGTGATGGATTTTTCTAGCCCAGAGATTCTGTCTTCTACATCTGAGATTCAATCTTCTGTATGTTCTAGCCTACTTTTAATACATTCAAGAAGTTTTTTTTTCTATATTAAAATCTTCATCTCTAATAGTTCCATTTGATTCTTTTTTATGTGTATTTTCTCTTTCAAATCGTGCAAGAACTTCCTCACCTCCTGGAACTCGTCAGCTCTTTTCTCCTGCCTCTTCTGGAGTTCATTGTCTCTCTTCTCTGGCATCTCTGTTTGCTTTGTCACTATGAATATTCTAAATTCTTTATCAGACATTTCTGCAAGTTCCATGTACTGTCTGTGGATGAAGAGGAGTTA